ACACACACACACACACACACACACACGTATACACATACACACGTACACGCGCGCGTGCACACACACTCTTTCCCTCGATATGATTCGACCTTGCACACTGATAATCAGAATTAGAGGAAAAAATAAACCACCAGACAGACATTCATGAGCCTTTTCGCCTGGCATGGGTTCTAATGTAACAGTCCACAGTGTGTCAAAAGTGTCACTGATAGACAGCCAGCTCACGTCAGACTTTTCCCTTAACTTCTATTTTTCTTGGCACAAGAACACAGAAAACGCGTTACGCTTTAACCCTTTTACTCTCATTATACGGAAAACCATTTGAATTCCTTGTTTTTTTTTCCTTTAAACGCAGCCAGTTTTGTCATCTAATTATTCAGCATCACAAAATTCCTTAATACTCCAGTCCTACATGTATTTATAAAAAAAAAAAAACCCACCAAAGTGGAAATGAATTTTTCAGTCAGTAAACATACGACCTGGTGAAAATGGGGAAATGGTGTGGGTTTAACGCCCCTAACAACACTATTAGTAAGTTATTTAAGAGGCAAGACCTCCGTGTTTAACTTCCATCTTTGAAAGAACCGAGCCAAATGGGAATTTCGTGTAAAGTGCCTTTCCCAAGGACACAACGTCGGACCGAGCTGAGGCTTTAACCCTTGAACTCGCAACCTCAAAATTACGAGTCCGGTAGTCTAACCACTTCCGCTACAGGCGTCACCTACGGTATGATTATAGATACGAATGTACTGAGGTTAGGTACGTATTGTGAGGCATCGTGGTGAAATCAGGAGCTAGTCAAAATAATGAAATCAAAGAAACTGGCATTTTTCTAGAAGTTTGGTAATTTTTTCGAATTTTCTGTCTTATTTTTGTTGTTGCCTCAATACCTTTCATGTTCTTTTAACAACACATTTCTTTCTTTATTTTTCTGAAAGTCGTTGATTAAAGGCACAAAAAAGTAAATCTTTAGTTTCCAAGGACTGTCAAGCTATTGAAGCCCTCAATTTTGACGGCCATTTTGTCGCTAATTTTACTACTGAAACCAGGTGACCCCCCGCCTTCTTCAATTGCAATTACCTCGACTTTTATTCAAGATAGATGGGTATTTTTTCCTTCAGAATGTACACAAATAAACAAGCTTAAAGATGACATAAATAACTTCATATGTCTCATAATTAACGAGCACCTGATTCGACCGAAGCGTGACAGATATTTGTCATGACTATAAACAACCGAGTGATCATTAAAGTGTGCCGGCTGAAATGACGCGCCGTATACTAAGAGGTAAGGACAAAAAATTCGTGGCACAACTTATCCTCAAATATCTCTTTAACGGGTTAATCAATGTCACCCATACTTTGCACATCAGTGTGTATCAATTTGTTAATCACATTTTTCAACAACAACTGAGGTTCGATTTTAAAACTTTTCTTCATAAATTTATATAAAATGCTATAAAACCTCGTCGTGCGGAAAATGGAATTGTTCACTGTACTTCCCGCTTCTCGCACACATTTTGCAGTGGCATATGGCCTACGTCACAGCTCACAAATGACACTTTTTAGTGGTAAAACTTCTTCCAAGAAAAACAATTGATAGTGAATACTTATTTTGCTCTAAAGGTTCCCTAAACATGATGTTCAATAAGCATAATGTTGCGATTAGAAACAAAATGACAGACTTGCTTTTAAAAGCGATATTGCCCAAGCTGTAAACTTTATAAAATCTGTAGAAACCATCGACTGGGATATTTGATTAATATTCATTTTTTAAAATTTTCTAGAATACAATGTGCAGGAGTTTGAAACAAATGTTCATCTATTAAGAAAAACTGATATAAATCATTGTGCAAAAGTTGGAGAATCTATGTTTGATAGTTAATGACATATTTGACAATAAGTTGCGCCATGCATTTTTTACCGCACTATAATAGGTAAGGTTGGAAAAGATATACTCCACAATTATGTCCGACCAGTGTCAGGCTATATAGGCAACGTTGTGCTACATTTCGCTACCTCAGAATTACAAAATTCTATCAGACATTTTGGGCTGTTTTGAATTACCAGAAACAAAATTAATGTTCTGTCTACACTATCAAAAATCGTTAGAAAATTCGGACCTGTTATCAAACTATTCAAAGAATTGCATTCGAAAAAGCTAAAAAAAAAATAATTTGATGTCAAATTTATTAAAACTACATATTGGGCATATTATTATAGCCTTTTGTAATTCTAAAATATCTATTTCAAACCATCATACACAAATCTAAAACACAAATTATATATGTATTTTATAGTTCGCCTGTTGTTGCCTGCCGTTTTTAGTTTTTGATTAAGAAAACATAGCTGAAAAAATCTGTATAAATAATGAAGCTATGCATCTTTTGTTAAATAACAAAACAGCCCGTTTTCCTTCAAGTTTGTGGGAGTAATCAGAATATGTGTGCTCAATGAGCTTTCAAAAAATAAATAGAGCGAGGGCAAGCTGTATCGCTCTCTCTGTCTCTCTCTCTCTCTGTCTCTCTCTCTCTCTCTCTCTCTGTC